TTTGAATTAACATTTTGCTAAGATGTAAAGGATAAGAAAGAACTAACCAAGCACAGTGCAGCAAGAAGTCAGGATGGGCATTTCAGACTAAAGAAACAAAACATGCAATGGCTCTCAGGTGGGAAATAATTTTGCCTGTTCCAATGAGTTCAAACACCAGTGTGGCTGGAGCATAGTAAGCAAAGGGAGGAATGGCAGGAATGAGTTAGGGAAGAGCCAGAGCTGGCAGGGCAAAGGCCATGGTGGATATTTGAATTTTAATCTAAGTGCTAAAGTGAACACAGTCATTGGGAGAGTCTAAGAAAGGGAGTGACATGATTCCATTTATTTTCAAAAGATTTTTCTTTTTGTTGTGTGAAAAATGGATGGGACGAGGGCCACAAGAATGCAAAGATCACAGTTGCCGGAACTGACTTCATTTCAGACCAAATGATCCAGTTTCTCTTGCCATTCGGTCCAGGGCACACTATCTTCTAAGAGACAGTTGCTATTAAATGTATCATGTTTCTCATCCTTGTTTCCATAAAGCAACACCAAGAGCATAAAGTTTCTTGAAATCCCAAGAATTCTGAGATAGGCATTATTAATATGCCTATTTTATAAGGAATAAGCTCAGGTTTAGAGAATTAGGTAATTTGCTTAAGTCATGCACCTGGCAAAAACCTGTTCCTTTGTGATTTTGATGGAGGGACCTTCAGCATTTGAAGAAAACAGTATAACTACTACTCTATAGAAAACAGCTACTATATTCTATCATGGAATTAGGAGAGAAAGTTTGGGAAAAACAGGACATATGCTGATGAATGCAAGGCCACCATTCAAAGGGGTAAAGACAGAAAAAATACAACTTTTTTCTTTTTTTTTTGAGGTAGGGTCTTGCTGTCATCAGGCTGGAGTGCAGTGGCACAGTTATAGCTCACTGCAGCCTTGAATTCCTGGGCAATCCTCCCTACATCAGCCTCCCTAGTAGCTGAGACTATAGATGCATGCCACCACTCTGGGCTAATGTTTTAATCCTTTTTTTTTTTTTTTTT